TCACCGTCCCGCAATTAGGACTTCTGAGACATCTTCACCCAACAAGGAAAGTCTTGTGTGTTTGTTTTTTACAAGATTAGTGACGCTGCAGTTTTAGGATAAATTTTTAAAGTCAATTAAGACGTCCCCACTTTTGCCTAGAATAACCTGCCCTCCATCAAAGTGCCTTCAAGTAAGGCCTCCTTCTGGCATTTTCTCCCTCCGGCACAATCTTGGAACATGGTATGCCCTTAACACGCCTTGAAATCCTGGATTTTGTATTGCTAGTGTTAATGCAACGTGCTTTTTATAGCAAATACATTCCTCCGATAAATGTCACTTAGAAATGGATTCCTGTTTTCAAAGCCCCAAACTGAGGGGCTGTGAGGAAGCTGAGCTCTGGGCAGCTCCTGACGTGCGAAGGTTTCCAGCTCTTTCTGGCACCGAGTGACTCTCCTTTGCCAGTCCTCCAAATACCTTCACCCTGCAGGTCACAGCCCAACGGTACGGCATCTAGCAGGACTGTCGGTGTTCTGTCAACATCAGCATATTGCAGACGTCCAAAATCTTTGTCATAAAACCATGTATGAGTAACTACATTATTTGTTTATCTTTCGGAAATGGGTTTGCCCTATAGCTATTTATCGGAAACCTCTGATGAAGTCCTTAGTATTGAGGGGGAAAGCAAATGTATCCCTGAATTTATCTAGTTTCCAATGTGGGCTTTTACTGAACCATATTTATATTTCTTTCTATTGAGCTTAGTGACTGTTATAAAGAGTGTGCACATTGGTCATTGTGTTCAATATTATGTATGTCATATTAGGTGTGTAAGTTAAACAGTCTTTCAACATAGGATCTTGCCTCATACTCACTTTTAATATAGTCAGGGCTGGAGAACTTCAAATCCCAAAACAGTAGATGAAAAGTAAAAGGCAGAATTTGACCAAGTGGATAAAAAGAGACATGGAAGCCCAGCCGGTGTCGCCCAGTGGTTGAGCGTCGACCTATGAACCAGGAAGTCACGGTTCAATTCCAGGTAGGGCACATGCCCGGGTTGTGGGCTCGATCCCCAGTAGGGGGTGTACAGGAGGCAGCTGATCAATGATTTTCTTTCATCATTAATGTTTTTATCTCTCTCCCTCTCCCTCTCTGAAATCAATAAAAATATATTTGAAAAAAAAAAACATAATACATATAATTTACATAAACCTACCAGCAAAGTGCTTGGTACATAGGTTTCACTACATGTTAATTACCCCCCAATGTAGACCTCCAAGATTCCTTCTAATTCTACGATTCTGTGTTAAATACATATATCATTTATGTATAGATTTGTATGTTAAGGAATTGAAAATGTTTAATGAAAGTACATGGAGATTAAATATAATGCAGAACCACGTAACTCCTAATGTCTGCTTTCTCCGGAGCTCACTGAGGCCATTGCAAATGGCAGGTGTACATTCCAGCTGCCATCTTTTCTCTTTGGTGATGTCTGTGCCTCTTCTCATGAAGCTGTAACTTGTGTCTGGCCAACTGGTGTGAGTGATGCTCAATGCCCTTGAGGCCCACCTTGGGCCACTCAAAGTCTGAGGGTTAATGCGTGTGCAGGGGAGACAATGTGTTGCATTTCCATGTATTACACGTGAAGTGACATAAATAGACCATAATTTTTAAAAAGATGGAAAAAATAGAAATAGGCGATAAAGAAGCACTATATAGAGATTCAAGTTTTCGAAAGAGGACAGTTCTGTAACTAAACGAGCGCAGTTAAGAATAGTGCTTCCCACACTGCTTCCTGCTTGGGCTTCATCTGCTCTTTAGGGAACATGACTTTAGTGAAAAAACTCCAGCTGAGAAGATTTTGAAATGTAGTTCCCATGGCAACAGGCTCTGAGGTGACATAAATCCAGAGGAACTTTGCTGGGTGGTTCTATCATCCAAACAAGGATCCTCCAAAGCTCGTGCAGAAAAGTCAACTTGTAAGGAAGCTTGAGTCTTCTCTGCTTTCTGCGCCTCGGCGAGCCCTTTTCCTATGGGGCTTGTTGCAGGTTTGTCATAAGGATTTATTTTCTTCCATTGTGATCTGATGACAGGGGTTGGGCTGTATGGTTATCACCATGGCCCTGGCAGATTTCTCAGTGTAAGATTTCTGCTTTAGGCCTGTTGTTGCTGTGCAGTGACCAAGCTAGATCCCCGTGTGGCAAGCAAATGTCACCCAACACTTACACATACAGCACGTTCACAGGACAGATACAGGGATTGTCGTCATCTTGCCAAGTAGCACAGGCAACTGCCAACGTGGCTCTGATTATAAACGCCGTGCATGGTGACTCTAGCTCTCCCATCCTGACCAAAATATACCTCTCATCGATTGCGTGCTGTGTGAAATTCCATCATGAGAGATCTGTTTGTGGGTTAGAGATGCTGTCTTCATTAGTACTTTCTTAATGAACGGAAGAGGGTCTGGAAGGTGGGTGGTCCTCGGCAAGTCTTTATGAGCCGGTGCTGATGAATGTGTGAGATCTTTCCTGAGAGCGGGTTTCAGTGGAGCATCAAAGGCAGAGCAGGTATTAGGACTCTGAGTCTTTGGGGAGGAGGCATGTTGACTGAGATTAGAAATGGGTACAGAAAGAGAAGGTTGGAGACGGTCAAGGAAACCTCTCCTGACTTTGTAACTCGGCCTTTGTGGTATGGAAGAGTGTGGCTATTTGAAAAATAGGGCATCGGTGGTGAGACAGGAAGTAGGGACAAGGTAAATAGTCGAGGGCCTTGAACCTGTCTGTGGATGAAGCATGTTGGAGAGATGGACCTGAGATACAGTTTTGAAGAAAAGATATTCCTCCGGAGCTCCGCTAACTTCTATCAGCTCTCCCCTCCCACCTTACAGTAGCCTCCCTCTGGCCCCCCTTTCAGCAATGATCTAGCCCTTAGCAATCCTTTCCTCTAAGCCCCCAACATGTGATGTAGCTGTACTGAGCTCAAGTAAGACTGGAAGACTGAGATACAGAGGGATAAGTTTTGCCATGAGAGAGGGGGAGTTAGAAACAGACCAAAGCCAGCAAAACAGCGAAACAAACGTTGCTGGGTCCAGGGGGATGAAGGACATCAAGCTACAAGGCCGTCACCCTGAGGATCACTCTGAGCGTCCTGGAGCCTGAAAGAGAGCTGGGAGGTTAGAGGACGGGGCCCATCGAGGAGAATTCCAACAGTTAAGCAGTTGGGGGAAGGAAGGAAACAGTTCTTAACTAATGGGGGTTGTTCTTCATGGTCAAGTTCAAATTCCAAGAGATGAGAGAGAAGATTTGCTTCTCCCTGGACTGGTATTGGGCAAGTCCTGTGATACACTGAAATGTAAGTGGTGTGTACAGCGCCCTCCTTGAACTTACATAGCATTTTATTTTTACCCTTTCTAGATCTTACACTTTTTTTTGCATATTTAGTTATATGTGTTCTCTCACCTTTTCCAAGAGAAGGTCAGAGCCTTGAAGGCAAGATTTTATACATTCCACTAGAGGCCCGATGCACGAAATTTGTGCAAAGGGCTCAGCCCTCGCAGCTGCAGTGGCTTGTCTCGGCCCTCACAGCCTTGGCTTCATCCAGAAGGTCATCCTGGAAGTCCTTAGGCTGTCCAGTCTTTGCATATTTAGTTATATGTGTTCTCCCATCTTTTCCAAGAGAATGTCAGAGCCTTGACGGTAAGATTTTATACATTCCACTAGAGGCCCGATGCAAAACACTGTTAAGAATGCCTGATTTGGAGTTACATCTGTTAAATTACAACTCTAAAATGGGAGTGATAAAACCCAGGTAATAAGATTGAGGGGAATTAAAATGAAGTATTATATTTAAATTAGAGGCCCGATGCACGAAAATTGTGCAAGAGTAGGCCTTCCTTCCCCTGGCTTCCCTCTGGCACCCGGGGCCTGGGCTTCCCTTGAAGCCAGGAAGGATGGAAGGACATTGGGTCTAATTAGCATATCACACTTTTATTATTGTAGATGGTATTGATCCTGGCACTCTGAGGTCAGTAAGTGTTAGGACAGGAAGCGTGTTGGGGACAATTAAGAAGTGTGCAATAAGTGATAGCTGATTATTTTTGCACAATGCTTTGCATTTTACTGAGCAGATGTTCATTGAACAAATAATGTTTGTAAACCCCCACTCAGATATTATCAAGGGGATAAGCAAAAGTTCCTCCTTTTTAAAGTTAGTTTCTAGGGGCTGTGATCCCAGGGGAACCTCTGGCTTCCTACTTCTAATCAGGTCCCCAGATCTCTAAACCCAGAAGAAAACTCAGCTGGCACTGATCACAGGCGAGAATGCTGGCTCCCCACCCCCCAAACCCCAAGATAGAAAAAGCCGCAGGGCAAAGCCTCAAACAGCTACCAGGGTTCTTTAGCTCCTTTAGCTCAGAAGGAATTCTAAGTCAGTCCAAGCAGGACAGAAGCTACAGGACTGTTGTTAGTACCTTCATCCGGGTTAGCATTGTGACCAGTTAGTTATCTGTCTGAACGGCTAAGGAGAAGGTGCACCCCTGAAACTTCGGGCTGAAGGCGGGTGAGTGACTGAATCTGGGACGAACTCTTCCTAAGGCGCCCACCTCAGGTGGTAACGGCCTGAAGGAAGATCGCCTCGCCTTTTCACTGTCTAACTTGACCGTGAGGTGCACGCTCCCACCAGTGGGCCTGGCTCTTACCTCCGAGAGGACTTCCCCCAGAGATTGAGCACAGCTTTGATAAACTCGGGCAGAAACCAGAGCAGGAAGGACACAGTAAATGGGCCAAAGGAAAGCTCTGGAAGCTCCTCGGTGCATCCTGGGGACCCTCACTGCGGAAGCAGGTCCCCCTTTGGAGGCAGAGTCCAGGGTGTTGGGAGAAGAGACCCCAGGCATCCAGAAAGCCTTTCTGCTGAGGTCCAATGTCTGCCTGAGGGGATCTAATTCTCAGGAACGGGGAGGTGACCGGGAGGGCAGCAGCGTCTCTCTCTCTCCCTTTGTTCCACAGAACCCCTAAGCGAGAATGGTGGCTGAGAATTCCTCTGTGACAGAGTTCATCCTCGCAGGCCTAACCCACCACCCGGGGCTCCAGCTGCCCCTCTTCTTCTTGTTCCTGGGCTCCTACATGGTCACGGCGGTGGGGAACCTGGGCTTGCTCACACTGATCGGGCTGAGCTCTCACCTGCACACCCCGATGTACTTCTTCCTCTATAATCTGTCCTTCATAGATTTCTGCTATTCCACCGTCATCACTCCCAAAATGCTGATGAGCTTCGTCTCAGAGAAGAACGTCATCTCCTACGCAGGATGCATGACTCAGCTCTTCTTCTTCTGTTTCTTTGTCGTCTCTGAGTCCTTCATCCTGTCAGCCATGGCATACGACCGCTACGTCGCCATCTGTAACCCACTGGTGTACACAGCCACCGTGTCTCCCCGCGTCTGCTTACTTCTTTTGTCC